CCACCCCGCCGAGGCCCCGCCGAAAAGAGAGCGGCACGCGCGCCTTCCGCTTATATAGGGCGGGCGGACGGAAGCGCCGCGGGGGCAAGCTGCGCAACGCGTTCGCTCTCGCGAGCGCCCCCTGTTGGACGGGAGGACGCAGGGCAGGAAGCGGCCTGTGCTACCAGCGGGGACACGGGACAGGGAAAGGGACACCCAGCCCAGACCTCAACCCCACGCTGGGCCTGACCCCCACGGCTGCAGGACCGCCCTGCGCCCTCCCCCGGCGACACAAGGGGTGTTAGGGGCTGGATTTCCCTTTTCTCGGCTGCACCCTGCTGTCCCCTGCTCCCCATGGAGGTGACAGAGGGTGGACCCAGGGACAAAGTGGGGACCCTCCAACCCTGCGATGCACCAGCTGGACTTGCACCTGCCTGCAATGCCCTGTGGGTCCCCAGGCTGGGGACACCCTTCACCCTCCATCCCCAGACCCTAAATGTCCTCCAGAGACCCCCCCCCGTACCTTCCCACTTCACAACGGAAACCAGAAAAAGGATCCCAGAGCCCTTTATTTGTCGTGTCAGAAAGAGGCGCGAGTGGTTTTCACGGGAGATCATGAGCTCAGGAGTAGGAAGGCCACAGGACAGAGGCACCTCCTCGCGACAGCGACAAACACAAGGACAGGAGCTGGCTCTGACTCCCCTCGCATCACTCCGGACAATTTTATTTTGAGCTGGAGACCCACCGCAGCTGTGGGATCTCTGAGGAGCAGCAGAGCTGGGGAGTCCCTTCCACAACCAGCCCAGCGCTGCCCAAAGCTGGTGCTCTGGGTGCAGGGTCAGTCCTCGGGAGCGGAGCAGGACACCCATCACCTGCTGAGCCTGTCCCCAGGGCTCTAATTGCCCTCTGCTTTGCTCCGCAGATCGTCAAAGACCTCGCTCTGGTGCCTCTTGTCCTTGGCGCGGATGATGGTCATCTTGAAGAGCTTGCAGTAGAGCTCCATGGCGGTGGGGCTGTCGTCGTTGCCGGGGATGGGGTAGGTGATCAAGCAGGGGTTGCAGTTCGTGTCCACCACTCCCACCGTGGGGATGTTCATCTTGGCAGCATCCCGGATGGCAACGTGAGGCTCAAAGACATTGTTGAGGCTGCTGAGGAAGATGAGGAGGTCGGGCAGGCGGACGCTAGACCCGAACTGGACGCGGGCGTTGGTGAGCAGACCACCCTGCCAGTAGCGGGTGTGGGCGTACTCCCCACATTCCCGTGCCGTGCTCTCGACCAGGTGGCAGAACTGGCGCTTGCGGCTGATGAAGAGGATGATGCCCTTGCGGTAGGCGACGTGGGCGGTGAAGTTGAGTGCCAGCTGGAGGTGCTGCATCGTCTGATCCAAGTCAATGATGTCCTGATCCAGGCGGCAGCCAAAGATGTAGGGCTCCATGAACCTGCAGGGACGGAGGGAGGGCGAGACAGGGGGACACAGGGACAGGGCGCTACAGGCATCGAGCAGCATTTCTGAATGTGGTGGGGCCCCACAGAAACCTCACACCCCAAATCCCAGCAGGTACCAAAGGTGGTCTCCGCAGAGAGCCCTTGTGCACAGCGCCTGTCCCCACTGGACTCGAGGGGCTGGGGGTCTGACAACCCCTTTAGCGCCCATGCTGAGCGGGATGCTTGCACTTTCGGAGGGG